GCTTTACACCTCGGTACTTTAATTTAAGAAAAAACACAAGCGCTCATCGAATACTGGTGGTGGAATAAATGAGAGACCGGCAGACGAGGCGGACCTTCCTAATCGAAGTCTTAACTGAGATGCTTCGAGGGAAGGGCGACGTCACACTTGTGTGGGTTTCCAGGCAGGTGTAGAATGCAGGAAGGAAGGCAATGCCCGATGTCAGATGATAGACTGCCCGCGTATGGGAGCTGACAACTCTAGCGAACAAAATGCTTTTTCGCTCTCAAAGGTCGAGCAGCGCCAACTCGACCAGTTTCTTGTTGATAGGCCCTATAAGCTTCACGAAGGTGATCCGGCGATAGGGGCCCAGTCTCGCCACGACGCATTTGAATCTCTCGCGCTGTATACAAAGAATTGAGTAGTTGAAAAATAGACGCAAGTGACAAAGAAACCCGCGGTAAGCCCTGGGGCCTTTCCGCTGATGGATAAACAACGATCAGAAGAATACTTACCTTGCTCAACGATCTCACCCACAAAAACCTTGGAAAAACCAGCTATGATTTGGGCGACAGGCTGGGAGGCTTGATACCCCAAAGTTTGCTGGATAACCTAAAAAAGAGATTAGATCATAAGGATCATCCAGATTGAATCCTACCTTTCGGACGGCTTGCTTTGGCAAGGCATGCCTCCTATACGACTCGAAACGATCGTACTGACTAGGACTGAAGTTGTCTATCAGAACTCTACAGCCAGTCGTTAACTAAGTATATCGATACGAGTCTAAAGAAAGGACGCACTTTAAGTTGCCTTTAGACTGACTCTGTCATGATAGCTGAGCGGAATAGTCGTCGTCTGTTATTGTAGGTAGTAGCTCGTCGTCTCCTTCCTCGTCTTCCTCAGCAGGGGCTTGACCAGGACATGTACTAGCAAGTGCTGGTACTCCGGACAAAATAGAAGCACCGTGGAAGCTGATGAGTTTGGATATATGCAACAATGGAGCGCCTGTTGGCTGTGAGCTGGTTCCGATGGCTGCTGCCGACGATGCGCCATCGCGGAGCTGCTGACCACCGCTTCCCGCCGCACCTCCAACCGCCGAAGGCTGTCCAGGGCTAGCTAGAACGCCACCTTAAGGTATAGTGCCACCAGCTACCTCTGCCTCTGCCATCAAGAATTTCACTTGAGTTCCCCTGATGACAAGGCCAGCAGCAGTAGCCGCTTCCCGCATCCGGTGTTGGTGCCTGCCTTCCCACCCATTAGGCGTCGTTAACACCACGTCCATGTTGCGGTATAATGAATTCCAAAGCGATTCCCCGTTCCCATGTGAGCTGGTGACATGCACTTGCAGCTGGCCTTTTACATACTCGAGGAAATCAGCAAAAATATCATTAACTGTTCGAGAAGGCGGTAACTCGGGGATCTCAATCTCAATTCCGTTAATCTTTGGGAGGTAGTCAGGCCGGAGGTAGAGTTTCCACCTATTCTTACATTCAGTATTGTTAGAATACATTGGACTGGATACGCGTACCATTTAGCTTTTATCCAGCCCTCTTCATCCGCTTCAGCCTTCGTATCCTGTGCAACAATTCAGTTTAGAAGCGTAGGATCATCGTTAAGAATTTCTAACGCACGGGACTGTCGGTCTCGGCACCGAGACAACGTGGTTTCCCTGAACTATCGTAGTAGACTAATGATGGGACTTTGGCGTCTGGATTGGCCTTCGAGGTGTGATTATTCAGTAGACCAGGAAGTAAAATCGGCTATCGCCTCACCTGCTTGGGCCAGCGTAGAATCTAAAAATAATGAATAAGAAAGACGTTGGTCATAATGGTGGACTGGACAAGCACCTCTTCGAACACTGGAGGTGTTCCCGGTTGAAGGATACAGACTGAAGCTGCTGAAAATGTAGTGCCGATGTCTATTGAGACGACTAACTGCGTTCTAGGTCCTTGGTAAGGTCGTCGATTGGAGCGCATAGATTTGAGAGGTGAGTACGAGGTTGTAAAGTGTGGGATAATTATGGCAACACCGTGTTTTCACAGCTGCCGTGATGTCGAAGCTGTCCATTCGTACGTTAGTAGTTTTCACGAGAATCCACACCATTAAATTGTTTATTCTTCATGGGCGACATGTCAAACCCTATATACAAGTTTTACTGCTGATACTGGGTTCATCCATTCCTTAGCTCCCTCAGATGTCGCTTCCACAGGCCGATCAACAACTTTGTACGCGCCGATGAGCATAAACGCGTCCGATACGATCTCTGCCAAACCGCCGGGCATCAAGCGAACGGGGGTTTGGCGAGATTGGGAAAAGACTGCGATCCTTTGCAGAACCAGCAGATAAAAACTTGTAAAACGCCACACTGAAGGCTCGCCAGGATGGTGATGCTGGTAAGGTTGCGTCTGTTTCTAATAAATGAGAAATGCGAACCCAAAAACTCGGAATTCAATACGAACCGTTGTAAATGAGCTCATGTCCAAGTCCCTGCCACACAGCGCCATAAAGCGGCGTTACTCCCTCGCTAATGCCCCCCTTGTCCCAATCTTTACTCCGAATGACGGCGATCTTCCCACCACTCTCAACAAAAGTTTGAGAAATCAACGCGGTACTCTCGTTCTCTGAGATACAATCTACAGCGTAAGAGATACCGCCGGAGACTTTTCGCACGTCTTCGACCCATGTAGGTGAGCGGTAATCGAAGACGGCCTCGGCTCCCAGTGCGAGGAGTTTAGCGTGGTGCTTAGGGCTGGCGGTAGCGAAGATGCGATATGGCTTTCCCGATGGGGTCCGGAGAAGGCTGGCGAGCTCAATGGTGTATAGACCAAGAGACGTTGCCGCTGAATAGACGAGGACGCTTGGTGCATCCGTTGCTGGAGGCGCGAAGGTGTATGGGTTAGGAAAGGGTGCTGGAATTTCGAGGCGGATAAACAAGGCCTTTGAGGTTCATTGTTAGCTATGTGAAACCGGCCCATAACATCGTGCATACCTGAGCAGCAGTAAGAGCACAAAGAGGAACTGTTGCAGCCTCATCAAAAGTGATCCCAGCAGGCACATGAATAGCCAGATCCTGCTCTAAGATGGCGTATTCTGCGAATCCTCCGGGACGGGGGGTCACAGAAGTTGCTGGCGAAAAACGTCAGCTTGAAGGGGAACTGTCCATTTGATTTAGCGTACCTCCTTGCAGGAGACCTGCAACGCGATCTCCTACCTGCCACCCCGTCACGCCCGCACCGACCTTATCAACGACTCCTGAGATGTCACTCCCAACAACACGTCCTAGTTCACCAAGGGGGTACTGCGTATACCGAGCGTCCACCAAATTCAAGGCGACAGAGTGCACCTTGACTCTGATATTGGAGTTCAGGGCATCATTGAAATCTTGGATCATATAACTCACCGAATCTCATTATGTCCGGGCTCGGGAACAGCGATATCTGCGACAACGGCAGTCTTGTTTGGTGCGGTGACGAGAGCTTGCATTGTGCGGGCCATTTTTCAGAATGTTCAGGATTTGCCATCGAGTCTTGCCCTTATAGACAAACACATGACGGGCTTAGAAAGACTCAGACCGGGGGAATGTCAGCTCCAAAATTATTTCTGAGATTTATAGCATGCTTTATCACCAATAAAGTATAAAATAACTGAGCTCTACACCTTAGCTTCATCATGAGCAAATAATCATAGTTGAAGGAGAGTACAAGCCTTCTGAAAGGTCAGTGGTGCAGGAAACAAACTCAGTCTTTCAAAAGTAGCTTGCAAAAATAAAAGCTAATATTCTCTTCAATCCTATGTACAAATCAATGACAAGGGACAGCATTTTGCACTTCACAGTACCCAGTTTTGTGCATTGGATAAGGCAAAAGATGTTATCTGCTTGTGCAACATCCCTACAGTCCAAAGCAGGAAACTTGCACATCCTCAGTTCCATAAGGCCAAAACATATAGTCTACATGGTTTCCAAACCATTAGGCAGGTCCACACCAGTCTCAGAAATTTATTAGTAAAATATGTGGTTGTGTGATCAGCATTTGATTTTGACCAAGTAGCATGCCTCTTCAAGAGAAAAAAAATAGACAACTATTCAGATCCAATCAAGGTAGTGTAATAAAGTCATTTTCAGAAAGAACATTGAAGTTGGTGGTATTATTTCGTCGCCTGAGTAGGAGGAGGAATGGTGTGAACAAAGGTGACCACCGTGACGTTGTCACACGAGCCTACCCCTACTGATCAAATTGCACCAGATGTAGTAGAGAGGTCCTGTGTTCGTGTTTTGTTCGCTTTTTTTGCCTCCGACTTTAAACTCCGCGGACCGCCGGACCGGACCTCTCTACACATCTGGAGCCGAGATTATGGAGAGCCCAAAGTCGGTGATGATCGCATATCCACGCTCATCGACCAGAATGTTCCCCTGAGTTGGGGGTCAGCGGGGAGCGGGAAAGGACGAACAAAGGGGCCTGACTCCTTTCAAGTCCCCATGGACAATGGTAGGCCTGAATGTATGGAGATAGGCAATGGCAGAAGCCACCTGGGCGAGCTACAACAATAGTTAGGTGACGAAATTCGGTGGATAACATGGAATGCGTACAAGTCTTAATCGATTCACGCTCGGGAAATGCTCCAGATAGTTGCAAAGCGTCCCATGTTCGCACCAAGGCGAGACCATGCCAATGCTCTGTGAGAGATGTACTATCCCAAAAAGCTGGGACACGTTGCGATGACATAGACGGTGCCATACAATAACCTCTGATTGAAGTCGCTAACGAACCATCATGTCAGCTCGAAACATTCCAGCAAGAGAAGTATTACATACCTTGATGAGCTTCTCTCGAACATTTTGTACCATGACTTGACGCAGGACCTTGATGGCAACCTGAACGATGTCGTGAGCTGACCTTGCACCATAACACCACAAAGATACTTACCGGCCGTGGGCGTCTCTCAATCGGATCGTTCCAAGTACCTTTCCATACGTCAGAGAACGTTCCATGAGCGACAGCCGCATCTCCCTTCACAACTTCATCGGTAAGATCAGTCAAGATCACAGACCCTTTCACGACCAAAGTCTTGGTGACCGTCTCCTGCAAAAACTTTTGTCGACATCGTTACTTCAATCGGCTATAGTCCTGATGCTCTTGGATCCACCTGAACTCGTCGTACGATGATATGGAAAGTGCAACGGTCCGGAGGGAAGAGAAGTAGAGGAAGTGTGGGTAAGTTTGGAGGATCATGGCATTTCGGAGATGGACGTCTGACGCAGATTCCAAGCCAACGTCTATCCAGATCGTTGATCGGCCAGTCTGGCGATGGGTGGAGGTTGATGAACACTGTTCGTTTGCCGTGCCGAGAATGTAAAGAGCAAGAGTCGGGAAGACGGGGAAAAAGAGATCACAGCATTCCCTGATGAATACAACGACAACGTCAAATCTTCATCTGCACTTTGAGAGAAAGATGGTTAACTCACGGATCCTCGTCGAACCCCTCATCCAAACTACCGAAACAGCAATCTGCAAGAATGAACTCCTGGTCCTCGCAAGCAATGCCAACGCAGACCTCTGCTTCGCATAAGCGCCAGCAATACAGGTTCATTACGTCTTGAAAAGTATCCACAGACCACCCTATAGGCAACCGTTGGTCTGAACGCGACCGTATCACCCCATCTGCCCAAGAATGCTCCAAAAAGTCGATGAATCCACGCAAAATGAATCGCTTGCGGAGCTGGGCGATGAGGGTTCTATAAGCATTGAAGATTTGTCCGTCTTTGGGCTCCTCGTAGCCCGACTTCTCAAGGTTGACAACCATCTGGCGGTATGCTGCGCTGTTGCGGAAACGAAGAAAGACAAAGTATTTGCGCAAGGTCTCGACATCCCGTCGATTAAATGGTATGGATCTCTTGGTGTCTTCCTCGTTCCACACAGTTCGGTCCAGAAGATCGGTCACCACCGACCGAGCATCAGACTCAAGCTTCGTAAAGCTTTCCTCGGCTTCTTTGAAGATTTTCTGAGTCTCGACATCAAGAAAGCCGGACCGTCCTTCGCAAGGAGCCCCTCCTGCTTTTCAACTTGACCCTCCTTCCTAAGCTGATCCTCCTCAACCTGGCCCTCGCTGTCAATTTGACCTGCCTTCCCAATCTGACCCTCATTCTGGCTCTCGCTCACAGCCTCCTTTATTTTCTCCAATAACTCCGGCCCAGTCACAGCCGAATTGACATTGGCGTCTGGGCTAGTAGTTGCGTTTGCGTTTGTGTTTGCGAGGGGGAGGAAGTTTCCGGTAGGGCTCGCAGCCGCATTTGAGTTCGTTCTCCCATTCGCGTTCGCGTTCCCGTTGACATGTGCCTGAGAGTTCCTATTCGCATCCACGTTCCCATTCGCACCCCCACCCCCATTCCCATTCACACCCGCACTACCCCTCACACCCACCCCCGCACCCCTCCCCAAATCCAAACTCGTCGTCTGGACAAGGACGATCCCCGTATCCGCACCCAAACTCTTCTTTCCCCCAACACCATCAACACTCCCGGCATTCGACCTAAACCCCACATCGCCCCCATCCCCCACACCGATGAACATAGCCAGTCTAGGCGGGGTAGGCGGGACGTTGGCGCGCGTTATGAGGCCGAAGGTGGTTCGGTGGGTGTTGCCTGCCCAGGCGAACTTTGACGGTGCTGCTTGGTGGTTGTAATTCTGATTCTGGAGTGGAGTGGAAGTGGGGTCGAGGGAGAGGGAAAGGGAGGTGGGGTCAACGAACAGAGGAAGGGAATACGGTAAAGGTGAAGCAAGAGGGGTGGTGAGGGAGAGTGAAGCCACACGCTCCAAAATGGGCGGAGCGTCCGGGTGTTCTCCGACTATTGACGCTGCTAGTTCCGCGAGTGCTGTGATGTGGGGTATGTCGGACGTTGGGCGAAGCTCTGAGTCTTCTGTCGTTGTTGTGTTTTCGTCAGACTCGGAAACGACTTGTCCGTCTTTTTCTGCCTGAAGCTGAAGCTGAAGAATGAGTTTTTCTCCAGTCTTCGATGAAGAAGAAAGAGAAGAGGAAGACGGAAGACCCGATGCGAGGTTGAGGTGTGGTAGGGCTTGTTGTAAAGGGAGGGTCATCGACCTACGATGGGTCGAAGGCGCACGTGTGACTGGAACGGGTAAAGCGCTAGCATCTTTCTCAGTCTCGGAATCAGCTTGCTTCCCGTCGTCGTCTTCACAAGCGGAAGTTTCATAAGTACCTCCTCCCTCCAGATCCTCCTCCGAAATCACCGCCAGCGCCAAAGGAGGAGGAGGACCGATAACCACATCCTCCACAGACACACCGCTATGCACAGACCCAACGACCGAAATAGGCCGGTGCGGTAACGGTTTATTCCTATCCGTCGGGACCGCACTAGTGACGAATTTACTCAGATAATCAAGCGCAGTGAGTCTCCTCCACTCCTTGTTGCCTTTCGCGTTCGTGTTCCCGCGTTCTAGAGTTGAAGCCAAGGAGGCCTTTGAATCGCGCGATACGCGAGGGAGTAGCGAGTCCATTTTCTCCGTGTATGTACTGTTGGTGTAGGAAGATAAGGAGAGGGAGAGACGCCCGACTTTGGCTAGTGCTTCGAGGATGTCGATGGCTGTTATCCTGCGGACTTCTTTGTGCGTGGGTGTTGTTGGGTGTTCTTTTGAGGGGTGGGGTTGGTAGGGGAGTGTTGGAGCTGAGGAGAGGTCGAGGGAGGGGAGTTTGATGATGGATGTGTCTTCGAGCTGGGAGGGGAGTGTCAGTTAGTTGGTTGGGGGATGGGATGAAAGAGACGTACATCGAGCTCCAGATCAGAGTCTGTGGTCGTGTTTGCTGGGTCTTCCCGCTGTTGCTGCTGGTCCTGGTCCTGATGTTGAGACGAGGTCGAGGCAGTCTTAT